TATTTTAAAATATTAAAATTTGATGCATTTTTTGGTATTTCATTGCTTTCGTTTTTTCAGTGTTTTAAGACTCTTTGCTTTTAAACCATAACAAATGGAAATGGCATTCAAGTTATTGAAAATAAAATGTAAATAATGATTGTGAATTGTGTTCAAATAAGCAAAGACTAGTAACTGATTGTTTGATATTTAATGGTAATTTAAAATTATTTCTTCACTTCAATTTCCGGTTACAAAACCTTCAAATTCATAATTATTGCACTTAAAATTATGAATCTATATTATTTGATGTGCATTCAAAATGTGCAGATTTTTGTTAACATTCTACCATTTTTCGTCAATTTATCCATGTGATTTGTCTGCTCGAAGCATTTCAGTCAGTTGTACTACATATGGTCGTCTCAAACATTACTCTAAAACTGCTATTCGCTAATTATAGACTATATATGCAGATGCATTTAAATTTAATACCATTTACACACGCACATATTAGGTGAAGTTATTTTCAAGGCATAGGCAGACACAGCTGGATTATCTAGAACATCATGAAATGTTCGAAATTCCACAAATTCAGAATTTCACTCATCTCAGTATAATATGTTACACATCTTCCCGTCTTGTGAAGCCAAATGCTACAATATTAGCTGAAAACCCTGTCGTGTTAAATAGTTAATGTTATTGAATATCAAAGTATGAAATGTACGCAAGATAATTGTACGGGTAAATACTAAAAGCCTTAAAATTGATGGCCGATTTTTATAGACGCCCGAAATTTACAACGGTCTAAAATGTAAAAATGTCGAAAGTTTGCAAAATTTAGAATGACAGCCATAAGATGTCGGCTTACATGAGAAAGGAGGCTGTCGAAGGTAAAACCATATAATTGAAAACCTCCCTGAAAATAGATTTTCCGGAAATTTGCCACTGTCTTTACTCTCCTTTTGTCTAGTTATATGGAATGCTGATAGAGAGGACTTGAGCGCCATTTCAATAATTTATTAGATATGGCTTTGCTGAAAATATTACTTCAGGACGCGTGACTGTAATTTATTTGGTTTATTGAGTTTCACAAATCATTTCTGCTTGATTTTCTAGGTACACATTTTTTTAAACTTTTTGTTGTTTTGTGTCAAAATTATTTTAGTTAAATTGTTAGTTAAGTCAATTAAATTTGATGTTGCTTAACAAAAAGTTTGTGTATCAATTCAGCAAAACTATTAATTATGTTCTTCATAGAAAGTTTATGTTTCCAAAACGTCTTGTGCCAAATCTTGAATTGATTAATTTAGCACGATAAGTACAGAATATAGTGGCACGTCTTACGCGTTCAGTGCCGTAGTTGAAGCTATTGATTTGGCAGAGAAACTCATGGGGGCTTTACATGTACTTGCTCAATAACATGGACCAGATGATCATGGTACGTACGACTTTACCGAAAATCTCAAACAATATCATTGTTTTTATGATATGGAAGAAGTTGAACAATAAGTTGAAACCGTCCAAGCCATAGTTAGGCTGAGTACAGTATTCCCCTTGGCAGCATCAGTACATATAAATTGTATTAAATTTCGTAGCACCATTTTCATCTAGCATTGTAAAAACAGAAATTCAAGAATATACGGTTATTAAAATGGGCAACAAGTGAGTCCGGTTCTGTGATAACTGAAACAAGTATTTAAGAGTATCATCACTCTCCCAATTCACTATTTGGACGAGCCAGTTTAAAGTGTCAATGACTTAATTCAGCTTATAGCTTTCAGAACTTCCTACTTGCAACTGAAGAAAGCTAATATAAAAGTCATTAATTTGTGATGTGCTTGAAACACGCAGGGCTGTATTTTGAATAGTTTCCAGTTTTGAAAGTCAGCATTGTTCATTAGTGCCAGTTTAAGGCAAATTACTTTAATTTGTTATAGGATTTGTGATTGTTTAAACAAAAAAATTCCATACGGTTTTTGAAGCATTTCAGTTCACGAAATTCTTGCGTATAGAAAACGTAGATGTAAATAACCAATGGCTTTAGTTATTTATTTTTACGATTAATCACTGGTTGGAACCGCGAATGTTTCACAATACCAGATCAATTTTTTTAGTTATTATATGCATAGTCACAAAGAATATGCAGTTTTCCTCTATTTTTCAGATTAAATATGGGTTTCACAGCTTGAAAATCACGTCCCCGTTAGCACACGGTTCTCTATCTCCTCCGAAATATTTGTCTCTTCCGAAATTCATGTTTCCTTTGATAGATGCTTACACAGAAACATGTCTCCACTAGAACAACTGAAATATGGCGGTTCCGTCTAATATAAATGTGAAGCAAGTAAACTTATCTCCAATATTAAATCCATCTTTTCCATTTTCATCTGTCACTGTAATTTGTTGGCATTTTCGTCAGTGCACATTTCATCTCTGTTCTGCTCTGCTCTAATTAATTATCATTCTCGATGATACTAACATATTATGTGAGATTAATAATTGCGATGACAAAACCCAGCAGCGAATTTATGTACAAAACAAGCTAATGACTTGAAGGATTGTGCTCTGAATTTTCGCTCGCTATTCGGTCATCTACGTTTAATTACCATATTATTTTAAAATACAGACCTTGTAGAAGAAGTAATGGTTTTCGAAATTTTACTCTATTTAGCATGCTGATGCTGGTAAATTGCTTCTATATTTTTCCTTTCGTGGATTTTCCAGTGGCATACGGGGTGTCAATTTGAAAACTTGCCACCTTTAGTATCTTTCTTGCAGTTCAAAATATGAACAATAGAGAAGACCCGTAAATTTTATTTGTAAGGGGGACATTTTAGATGGATGTTTTTAGCCTCCTTCTTTCAACCCCCTTGGACGGGTAGATGTCACCCTTAGAATCTTAAATGGGAAGGGGGGTCAAGTGGAACATCATTTTAAAGGGCGTTCAATCATCTTTACACTAGTTATTACCTTGTTGCTTTTCGTCCAGAGGTTTCCGAATAATCGCGTTTTAAAATTACAGAAGCAATTAAACTTACCTGCTTTGAGATTTTGGTTTTCAGATTAGCGTTTAAACAGAAATTATCTTATTAGGTCTCCTTAAGCTACCAATGATTAGAAGATTCGGTTACACCGTTAAAATAGTCGAATAACAGGAAGAAAATCTAGTTTAGACAATTGAGTTCGGAGTTATTGATTTTTTTCGTCGGGAAAAATAACTCTTTACTTACGGAAAATAAATTTCTAAAATAAAACCCATTGGGTCTACTTACGAACTATCTTATAAGTTGTTCAAGTGTTGTCAATTTTCCTGTAAACAATAGTAAGGTCTGTTTTTTTAACTCTTCCCTAACATTTCGGAAAACTTCACCGGGAATTGACATTCTGCTGCAATTCGCGTTTTGCGATCATCAATATCAACAGGTTATATTTTATAAACAATGGACTTAAGATGTCCCCAAAGAAGGAAGTCTAATGGTGTTCAATTCGGTGATTTTGGAGGCCATTCAATTGGTCCCCTTCTGCCAATTGATCTATCCGTGAATAAACATCAATGTTAGGGAGGGTTCGCAAATAGACTTTATTATTGTTTACAGGAAAATAGACAACATTTTGAACACCTTATAAGATAATGCGTAAGTAGATCCATGGCTTTTATTGTAGCAATTTCTCATCCCTAAATAAAAAGTAATTTTGCTCGAAGTAAAATAATCAATACGTCCGAAATCAATTGTTTAAACTAGATTTTCTTCCTGTTATTCAACGATTTTAACGGTGTAACCGAATCTTCTATGTATTGGTCTATCTATAAAGACACTCCGTGACATAATTTTTGTTTAAACACTAATCAGAAAACTAAAATCGCAATGTCAATTCAAGTTTAATTGTTTCTGCAATTTTGAAACGCGATTATTCGAAAATCTCTAAACAAAAAGCAACGAAGTAGTAACTAATATAAAGAGAATTGAACGTCCTTTAAAACGATGTGCCAATTGACCCCCCTTCCTATTTAAGATTCTAAGGATGACATCTAGCTGTCCTAGGGGGTTGAAATAAACAGGCTAAAAATATTAATTTAAAGTGTCCCCCTTACAAATAAAATTCACGGGTGTTTCCGATTTTTCATATTTTACACTGCAAGAAAGATATTAAGGGTGGGAAGTTTTCAAATTGATTGCCGGTATATACAAGAATTTCATTTTTCCAGAGTTATATTGTCAAATGTAAAGGCACGCCATTATAAAGTTTCAAAATTAATCCAGGATAAATTTTGGCTCGCCACAGTTATGTTTTTTATTGCCTTCTAATGACGGTATTAATATCAGGCGGCGTAGACTTAAGTAGGGTAATATTTTGATACTGACAGATAGGTGGTAATAGGTAGTGACAATGAATTCGCAGTTGCTATGTTTAATTTGATAATTGTTAATTATATTGCGATTAAACCAAACGGCTTACTCAAGTGCTTTTCGTTCGGAGCACAGCCACGTTATCTTTTAATATCCTTCGTTTTCTCTGATTTGCATGTCTTTAATTATGTGCTAATGAATGATGAATGTAAGAGATTTATTTAGATATTTCAGATAATTCATGAACTATATTTAAGGCATAAAAAACTAATTTTTAAAATATCCAGACCACCCGAGTCACTTTAAGAGAGCAAAGCATAAAATTTTAGTTGGCAAACAAAGTCGTGTAGTTTTTCACATTTAGTGGCACATTCTTTCAGCTTCTTTGGCATCTTGACGTACAATTACGATCGATAAACTTTATGCAACCGTTAGACATGCATGGAGTTCTTTTATAGACTTACCGTATGTACCGCCGGAGTTTTAGCTTCCAAGTGGAGCATTTCTCAAACACAATTATTGGGATTAGCGAGATTAAGGGAAAGTCACGTATTTGAACTAAGGTGCAAGTAAAATCCATGAATGTATTTATCTCAATTAATGAGGATAAGTCAACAGTTATTCAAGCAATTTCAACTTTCGAAACTATTCTGAATGAGGTGATTTTTTCAGAGGTTTGCGAGAATACGTATTGCGCTTGGGGTGCCCAATGTGTAACCGCTCGTGATGGAAGTTCTTCTTGTCAATGCCTCAAAACTTGCACGTCCGAGATCGACCCTGTCTGTGGAACGAATGATGTAACATATGACAGTTTATGCTTGCTGAGACTGGCCTCGTGCCGTGAACGACAGGACACCAGATTTAAACATGATGGCCCTTGTGGTAAGTAATAATCTAGAGCTGGTGTATTATTATTAACCTACCTAATAAAGCTTTAATTAGCTCGATTCTGCTTTATTATCTCCGGTTTGTAAGGGAGGAATTAATTTGGTAATCTTAAATAGAAGATATTTTGCAATGCACTTTTTCGATTGGCTACAGACTGATCGAAAATAAATGTTCACTAAATAGTGGACCGCAACTGTGTTGCATTCGTAGAGTCATTAACGCACTTTGAACTAGAACAAATCAGACATTCAGCTTCTTTGTTTATGAGAAAGCATTCTGGATTTTCGTATAATTTGCTATTCAAATTGCTTCTTTGAGCACAGATCTAGGCAGCAACGTTATTAGTACTTTAACAGAAAAAAGAGATTGAAAAGAAAAAGAAAAAGAAAAAAAAAGATTGAAAGTTGAAAACGAATTGGCATCTCGTTTTGTTATATTCATCTACTTCTACTTGTCGAGCAAGTAGAAAGTTTCACAAATCGGCAAAATATCGTAATATAAAAGGATAAAGCTGGCATGTCCAATCATTATTATATAATTAAAAAAGCAAATAAGAATATCTGTTCCATTTTATTTGTTAATGCGATATAGGCACAATTTGTTTAATCATTTTCCTGTTCAACAGTTTCCTGCTGAACTTGCCGGATAATAATGCGCATTTGATTACATATATTTTACCAATCAACTGATGTTGCAAGGTACATACAGTGTATACTGAATTATCTAAAAAAAATTGCAAGCCTGTGAAAAGTTTTCCACATTTATTAAACATTCAGAAATTTATGACTTGATTTGAAATAGGAAATTCGCAGGCAATTGACTTGTGCATTAAATCAGATTCAATTATGAATCTAAATGTTAATTAATTATTATTTGTACGGGTGTATTATGAGGTAGCAAAAAAACGTTATTTAGTATTTGCTCAACGTATATCTGCAAACTTCGCGCGGTGCCGTAAATGTATTTAAATATGACAATAAACTTTTTCTGTTACATTCCAATGTCAATCGCGTTTTGGAAAATAGATTTTATGCATTATTGGATATTTATTGAATGTTACATTTAATTCCCATCGAAAATTCTGTGTGCTTTTGGGTACACTTCGGCTCAATAAATGCGATTTAAATTTTGGTTTTCGATTGCAATGGTTAGATTGAAGCTTTTTGATTCATACTATGTCATCGGTAAACAAGTCCACCTATGGTAGTTTTAAATTACTCGTATTTTGATGATTTGCATAAATTACAAATAAACTACAATTGGCTTATAAACATTTTCGGACATTTTCATGGAGTTCATTTTTTCTGATAAATTTCATGGAATTTTCTGCATGTATTATTTACAAACTAAAATGCCTGCATTTTCACATTCAAATTGAGATAATCTCGGGTTATCCAATCATGAAAGGTTTTGCAATGTAATTCAATTGAAATTTTCATCAAATTTCTCCATTTGAAATTACATCTCAAATGCTCAGATGTCTGGTTTAAAAGACAATTTTCTTGAAGAGCCGCTTGTAGTCAAACGAAACGCTAGAGACTAGATATTCTAGAGCACCGTGCAGGCAAATATGTATTTTTTATGCATGGTAGTTTTGAAGGAACATTTTACCCTTAAGGCTGTCCTATGCATTCATGAAATTTTATGCGTAAAAGGAATCTATTCGAAGCATGTCTTCTATTAAGGGTGAACAATTTCTTGAAGGCAGGTTTTGTTTTTCCTAGCACATTTCAGATGAGTGCAGAAAATGAGAACGTTGTCGGTAAAAATAGTTTCATTAAAGCCACCTTTGAAATAAGAGAATGTTAAGTTGTTATGGTGCTCAGCATATTCCGATCTGAAAATTATTTGGTAAAAAACAAAATAATGTTCCCTAATAGTATGTGAAGCGTTCTATCGTTGACAAAAAATGAGTGTTTAACGTCGTTTGAATTCCCTTGTTCCTAACGCTCTCAAACTTGTCTACAATAATGGTGCGTTTTTGTTAGCGCATTTAGGAGCTCGTCCAGAGCTCTATATGTTACTTGAGGTTATTGATATACAATTTGAACTTTAAGCAAAATCGATAGACTGAAGGAACGCTCAAGGAACAGAGCGTTTCCTGGGTAAATTAATCTTCCATGAAAGACTAATGGAAAACATACTTTGGTATGGATTAATGCTAAAAAAGCACACTTACCTTCTGACCCACTTAATCGAAAATGATTGACAGCCGTTCATCTGGGCAGAGCTTAATTAGTAAAAGTTTTGTTAAATGTAAATTATGAGATATTCAGAGGCTCCTTATCAAAACAGACAAAAGGAGAAGAAAATCCGTCACATGCGATATTATCAACTTGATAAATGCCAGCATTAGTGAACATGTTCTGGAGTAAAAACCAAATGCTCTAAACTGGAAGCTTGCAAACTGCAATACGAAAACTAAAATAAAATATTGCACTGCCTCGGCAACAAAGCCAATGTTATATATCGCGTAATACATTTGAACGGAAAAAATCCGTTGATAACCAGTTTGTAAGTTTTGAACATATTTTCTACAGATAATACCAAATGTGTTAGAGTTTCATTTCCCCTGAGACGAAACAGCTACTATTTCCCGAGTTATATGGATCCTTAAATGGATAGTTACTGCCCAGTGTGTGACCTCGTAAAAATATTATCTTGTTATAAAGGTCCTAAGAGAAAATACAATTATAGTATACCGAGAGGGCTACTTGAGAGTAGATTAGATTTTTTTCAATTGCTGTTTGATCAAATTCGATCTATCTCACCTTACGGTGACGCACCCGACATAAACTATAAATATTATAACAATTTCTACACCAGCAAATTGTTGCGTATTTCTCTATTATCTCAAATGTCACATTATTTTCAAGACCAGTTTAGAGGGTTTTCAGCAAATGTGTTTTCTCTGAGTTTTATAAAGTCAATTCGTGTTGCTTGAGATTGTAGCAAGCCAATTGTCGGTTTTGCTGAATCATTCTGATTCTGCAGGTGAGTGTCGAGTTTCATTTCTAAATAATACAAGCACTTTCGGAAAAGCACAGAATTTCCTTCCTTTAGAGGTTTGAATGTCAGCTCTTTTAAGAACGGCTATCCACTAGGTCTAACCACGCCGCAAATATTTCTTTTTCAGCCTTGCTTTTATTTTTGCAAACTTTTCAGAAGGTTATTTTCATGGAACGTTTCCATTCAATGGAGACTTTCATAAAATTGGATAAATTATGATGAATTTATTTTTGGTTGGTTATTCAATTTCATAACTATAATGAATACGATTGCCATTTATTTATTGGGAATTAAAATTCTCGTTTTAAAAAAAGTTAATGCGGGTTTGTGTGAGCTGACATTTCGGGATACTTGATATAGCGACTTGACGTCTGGAGCAAGTCTTAAATCATGCTGATTCCGCAGTTGAGTGTCGTGCTTTCTGTTTTAAATATTAAACGTAGCTGCAGAAAAAAAAGTTACTTTTTTCGTCAGGGGTGGGAATGAAAGCTACTAGTTTATAACAACACTAGTAGTTCCATACCGGTTACCAATGCATTTTGTAACTTGCTTTTGCAGTTCTCAAAATATCCAAAGAACCAGAATGCAGTAGCATAAGTAAAAAAATTATTAGGCGTCTCTCATACTTAATTCAAACTTCACAAAATGTTCGTGTCTAATTTTTGTAATTTAAGTACAAATAATTTCGCCTAATACAAATGCCCCACGATATTTCTGAATTGATTTATCCATAATTTGACAGCATATGACATACATTTATTTATACAGAGTGATTCAGGTTAATTGTCGAAGTCTCTATGACATTTAAAGCGCTACAAAGGATGTAGCTACTTGACCGCCACAAATGTATCAAAAATGGAATTCTGTATTGTTGTATTGAGCCTACAGTGTAGTTCTACATCTGTCGCAATTTTAACGTTAGAGGTTAGGAATTTTTCTGTTCTGGAAGAAACCTTTTCATCATCGAAATTTGTGATGACTAGTTAATTGTATGCTTGATTAATTTCAGAAGGGTTACAGACAGTAAATACTACATATTTACGTACTAATTGATATCCCTGAATCTAGCTTTCTTTGCCTTCTGGTAATAGAATACATCTAGAAAGGAAACGACTTTGGGATCAGCAAAAGTCATTTGAACTACCTGATGATCAATTCATTAGGACGTTTAGATTATAACAAAATATTGCTAGGAGTGTTATGTAAATATTGTTAAGCCGCATTCCTCTGCACCTTCGAGGTCTTCCAACATTTCATTTTCAAGGGCATGGCTCTTTTTAGAAAGCTGTGGGTTTGTCAGGCGGGACCTGTATGAGTCAAACCTTAATAAACCGCTCAATCAGGATTTCACGCAGATGAGATTTTTGTTACTTGATAATAGACCGAACTTGTGAATGTGACTTTTATGCCTTTAATGTCGCCTTTTCGTAGAATTAATTGGTGTCATTATTTAGTCACGCCTTACACCAATTTTTAATTATTACATTATTATTTTATATCAGTTTAATATATTTTTGGTTCTCGCGGTTTAGACTGTGGCAGTTCCCAGCGGGGCAAGAAAATTTCCAATGTGATTAAGCAACTTTGTTTATTACATCGCTTATTACTTATTTCGAACAAAGCCAAGAAACGAACACAACCACACAATTAAATTATTATTTCTAATTGAAATTAATGTTAGGGTTTTTCGATTTCAAAATTGTTGAACTGTAATCTTCTTTCTTTTCAGTTATTCCTCTTTCTTTAAAGTGTCAAGAAAGTTGTTCATGCCCTCTGAAATATTCTCAAGTAGTACCGTTTGCCTTTATTTTATTATCCTTGCTTGATTTGTTGCTCTTGCTTGCCACATAATTATGAGTAATAAAATATTGCTTATGTCAACTTAACATTTTATCATACTGTCGATAGCCACAGTCCAAAATATTCCGCTGCAAGCGGCCTCACTCCGTCAGACGTTACAGAATGCCGATTTTACTACAGCTGTAAATCAAGGTTTACAGTGGACTGTAAATATACAGTATGTACTAGTTACATCGATGAAAACGTTAATTATATAACCGCACCATTAATCCTGATAACTTTGGGAATCTACAGCACCGGTTAGAATAATGTCTGTACATGATATAGAAATGTTTCGTACGTCGGATCGTTTTGGAGGAATAGAGCCCCGGAAAAAAGTGCGTCAATTAACGTTTGTGCAGATGTTTGTCACAAGCGTATTTCAAAAGTGTTCCTTGCGAAGGATTAGTGACTTGGCCCCCGTGCTCACCCGACCTGAGTCTTTTGGACAATTTTATTTGGGGACATCTAAGATCAGTCATTTAGGAACCTGTAGAGAGATTAGAATGATATAAAAATGTTTCGTACGTCGGATCGTTTTGGAGGAATAGAGCCTCGGAAAAAAGTGCGTCAATTAATGTTAGTGCAGATGTTTGTCACAAGTGTATTTCAAAAGTGTTCCTTGCGAAGGATTAGTGACTTGGCTCCCGTGCTCACCCGATCTGAATCTTTTGGACTATTCTGTTTGGGGACATCTAAGATCAGTCATTTATGAATCTCTGGGAACACGTGAGGAATTAATTCATTGGATTTAAAACGCTGAGGGAAAAATAAGAAATACTCCCTTTCAAATATAAGCTGCGATTAAGACACTAGTGCATCGATGCCAAAAATATATTGAGGTATTGTAGGCATGCAGTTTGAGCGATGATTGTAATTTTTGCTCTAGTTGGGTGCTGTTTGTAGGCAATGTTGTGTAAATGTTTGTATAAATGTGTGAAGTTACGATTAAATAAATGTTTGAAATTTTAATGATTTTTTTATCGCACGAAAAACACTTTCGCAATAGACTTGTAACAATATTCATCACAAACCTCAGTTGACACAAATCATTGAGTTCCCATAGCTTGATGTAACGTTTGATACAATTTACTTGATTACATTGTTTCGAATATCCCTAAAAAGATCAGAAACAAAACACAATGTGCAAAAATTGCAAGAGACAAAAAGTTTCCTACCGAACCAGTGAAGCAGCGGTTTCATTGATATTCTGAATTACTGAATTTGAATATTTTTGTTCAACGCTTTGTAACTCCAAACGGATGCGATTAATGAAAAAAAAATTTTATCATGTAGGAACTTTATTCTCAGTTGTTCAATTTATTTCCAAAGTTATTAAAATTAAACCTGAATTGCTCTATATAAACAAACGGATGTCATACTCATCCACATTATGAAAGAGGGATATGCACACTTTATGAACTTAGACGTTAGTATGAGCAATATCCAATCGTTCTTAACATTTTCTTCGGATTTTCTCTAACCTGCTGTATACCCACACTAATGATTCAACGCAAGTAGTGTTTTTGTTCGCACGTTTCAGAGAGTTATGAAAGATCGCTCTTCAGCGAATGTGATTCTCTCATTTGCAGACTGTAAATTCGCATTTGTTGAGTTTGTGGGTTACAAATTTCAGAGGGTTTTTCTGAATCTGTCGTTTACTGCATTTGTGTGTGCTTTTTTTAAACAAAAATTGCTTTTGAAAGGTCGTTTGCCGGTTAGAATATTGAATATCCACTAAAATATTTAAATGTTTTTATTCAATTCAGTGATTCTAATCCACCTGCAATTAATTCACCATTGCGCACATTTTCGAGTACACAGACTTAAATCTCCCGCTGTATGGAATATGATATTGTTTCAATATAGTTTTGATTGATTGTCTCCATAATGGGATTGAGTATGATTGGCATTTACTTAGTGCGAATTATAGTTGATTTTTGTTATTATAAATTATTAAAGTTAATTTTAGTTTAATTTAATTAGAGAATAGGCAAGTCATTACGGGAAGGAAGTCAGACAAAAAGTGTACAGGGATGCAGTAATGGACGTTTTGATGAAACCACTCCCCAGGTGGTCCTCATAGCCATTTATCAAAACCGAAGCAAAACAATGGAAAAAAGCAGTGTCATCTTTGCGACAAACTAATCTGTGGTGTTTTGGCAAACTTAAAATCAATATGGCGCTTGCTCGGCGTTGTCTTCATATATGCAGTCACGCTACCTGTGGTGCAAGTTATGTTTCGAAAAGGCCCTTCTGTTCACTTCAGTGGCGTTTAGACCAGTGTGGCGTTCGCGCGTTCGCACTATATCGCAATCGATCGCAAAAACCTCTCTCAATCTCGGAATTTAGAAATATATGTGTCTGGTTCTTAGCTTTTTGTATCACACTGCTTAATCAAGTCCGCGTCCCCCTTTTTCGCTCCAGTTTCTTCAACGGAATTTCACATTTTCTTGTCACACACTCGACTATATATCATAAGAGTTTGTCATGCGCTCATTAGTCTAGCTCAAGATATAACGTCATCATATTTAATCTCACAGTTTGATCTAAGAAAAATGTCGTCCCACGCTCTGGTGCTCTTAATCTTGCTAAGCATATATGCAAACATATGTTATTCTTGCTACATTTTTCCTAAAGGCAGATTAGGTAAGCATCAATTTCATCACCCCCCAACTGCCGCAGTTGAACCGAAGCTGGATGCGTCAAATCAAATGTTCGTCTTTCAACCCATAGGGGCGAAATATTTTGAACTTCGGACAAAAACCAGCAGAAGTTGTTGAATCGCCATTGCCCTTGACGTTCGACATGTGTTTGTATTATTTAGCCTAATGTTATCCATCACGGATCCACAAAGGCCTCAAATAAATCACTGGCAACTTTTTTCTGCCGGAATCTTGAAATTCAGACATGTGAACACCATAGATAGAATCGAAGTTGATGATGAGTGAGGTCTTGAAAAAACAGAATGTCCTGCTTTGAAGCATACATTGCATTTAAACTGAATTTGTTCAGCTCAGAAACAATAGGTTTTCAAATAAATTCTTGCAAAAGGTGATGAAGAGCCAATACAGGTTGAGTCTCTACAAAGTGCGGCTTAATTTAAAAGAAATTTTTGAATAACTTCTAATTAATGTAGTCATATGTTGGAAAGTACTGCCACTTTTTACTTTATTAATGAGTAAATTTATTGCATATCAAAATATATACAAATATAAGCGCGGGTGTATAAGTTAAAATTTTTAAACCTTCTAAGTACTTTAAATATTTCGGTAATACCGGTACTCACAACTACTAATTTCTTCAAATTTTGTTTGTCTCAGGAAAGGGTGGTAACTTACAGACTTATTAAGAATAACGGCAAATGATACCTGAATTCCGATTCCTATAATTACAAAATTTGGTATGTTTTTTTCATCGCAATGGAACACCTAATAAGATGATTGACAAAGAATGAATGTAAAGTGAACAAAACCCCCACATGTCTGTACCGTAAGACAAAGTCTAAAATTGCATAATAATTGAAGATGCACACATCGCGAATCTTAGTGTGATTATAATGCACAAAAGGTGATATTTTGCGTCCAGTCAAAATACAAACTTGAAATGAAGTTAAATAGCTTGAAACGGTTAATTAAGAAGGAGATGTTATTTGTGAGGCAGTATCTATATACGTTTATTTTCAGCAAAGTGGATTTTTTAAATTAAGAATTGTCTTTGGAAAAGTGAAAATGATAAAAAATGTGTTTTCGCACAAACCTACAGTTACAGTGCTGTTTTGATTTTAAAACGAAAGCTTTGATGAACGAATCTTTGATTAGGTTTATACGCTTAATTCAGACCAATTACAGCAACGTCTCAACTTGCCAAAATAACTGTTAATTATATTTGATAAGGAGCTCGAAATGCGTAACAACAGCATTCATAAATAAAATTTAAAATACGTAACAATGTCGCTAGAATCAATCTAGAAGAATGTTTCTGCAAAGCAGAATACGTATACATAAAAAAATATCATTTCTATTCCTTAATCTGTATTCAACGACTTAATAAATACATGAGAAAATATTATCAATAAAATGTTCATGTACATTAATACTAAATTCATATTAACAATTCTTTCAATTATTAAACGTTGCTGTTGTGTTTGGGATAATTCATGCAATTTAAACCACTTCTTGTGAATCACCAAATGTGGATTATTTTTTAATAAGCGAGAGATTAATTTTGTATTAAGTTTCTATTCGCACGAGAACGTTTTATATTTTTTATGGGTTAAAGTAAACTAAATTGCCATATTGCACACAAAATTCCTATAAACAGGAAAGTACCTAAATGTCTAGTAAATCGATCGCAGTTTATATAAGACACTTTTTACACGACTTAAAGTATTACCATATCAAGGGTAGTTGGAAATCGGTCTCATGCAAGTTGAAACTGCGTAGTACTTCTGTCGTAAAAACGTAGATATACGCCAGAGTAATGTAAATAAAATTTTACGTTTCCAATAAATACATAAAATTGGACAACAAATTACTCTAGTTTAAGAACATTTGCGCCAAAACCTTCTGTGAGATTTTTAATGCACATTGAGATGGACAACTGCAAGTATTTTCAAATGATATACGGTGCAGGAGAAGAAATATATTTTTCCTTAATTCGATGCCCTGATTGTGCTTGTATATGTATATAGTTGTATATCATGAATTGTCGGTTTGAGTAGGTGCTGCGAGCTAAACTTTTCAACATGCCTTTTTTGCTTATTTTCAGTTGAACATGATCTATGTAAGGAGAAAAACTGCACCTTCGGCTCTCGTTGTGTCGTGAGTTCAGATGGACGAAATGCCAGCTGTGTTTGTCCTGAGAAATGCCCCAACTATGGAGACCACATCACTTCGCATCCCGTATGTGGTTCCGATGGCATCGACTATGAAAATCAGTGTCAATTGGCTCAGGCCGCTTGCAAATCAAACTCAAACATCACTGTTAAATTTCAAGGAAAATGTGGTAAGTATAACCAGAATTATCGCTTGTTCCAGCTCAACTTCTTCTATTAACTCAGCCGAATCTTTTGATCTATTTTAATTTTCCATTATTGTGTGTGAACACCTGATGGTTCTCAGAAGAAAAAATGTTGATCCTAATTTGAGCAATATGGGCAAGAGATTTTGGGCCTTAACCCACAGCTTTCATTTTTTGTCGGATATTAGACACTGCTCCAGAAATCTCCTCAGGCGATATCGTGACCCTCCTTTGCAGTTCACTTGACGCTCATAATAGTCATAATAAAAATCATTTTTGGACATTTATATTTTTTATTGGGTTTGTCGTAAATATTGGAAGTGAGAATTTAAGAAGATTCAAGTCAGAAGTGAGGAATCAAGATAATAATTTGAACTGTTGTAAAAACTTACTGTATGACTTGTTGAAATAATTGTTAAAGATTCACTAAAGTAAAACTAACTATTTGAAATGTAGATGCTAATATGAACAAGTAAATATTAGCTTGAAATATTAAAATAGAAGAACTTGCAAAAGAACATGAAGATGCACATTTCTCAAATATGTAAGTACTTTTACAAAACATAAAGGTCATAAGAACCTTAATAATTACTGATGTATAGAAGTGTTGCTGACGAATCTATACCCGCAACTATGTTTAAACGACGATTAAATAATTGCGCAGTTTTCCATCTTATTTACTTGGGATTTACGTGTATTGTTTGCTCTTTGTGTATTCACAGTTTTGTAGAAGCAACATTTCATACATCATTAACATTTTTAATTCAAATGAGACTTGCCAGGCCAGCTTGCGCAAGCAGGAATTACTATACACAATTAATCAAAATTAGCAACTTTACAAATTAAAATTAAGCATCGTTATTTGATCCGCGAAACAGTTTTTCAATTAAAGATGAGAAACAGCTTTATTTGTTAGAGTTTCGAAGCCAGTTCTGAATTTAATAAATGATGGCACTATTAGTTTTAAAGGGTTGAACGTTTATTTTTTCATTCTAATAGCATCTACACTAAATAAAAAATGAAAGAAGTCGAGAAACGATTTTACTATTATTGATAATTGCTTAAGGTTCACAAGGCAAACCTATTGAAATGGAGCTGATGAAAATTTTAGAATGCATATTAATCCGTTACATGCCCAGCATATCTTGAAACATGTGCTTTTTAAAAGTTCCGTTCGGGAATAGCTGCCGCTTTCCCTTTTTGATCAACTACTGTTAGTTATTGCTTTTAAAAATATTTTCAATTTAATATGTTTCAATAATGAAAGCATGATTGATGATACTACGATGTGATTCACTCAAAGCATTTTATTTTTTGTGAGGCAAACGGGGTCAGGCAGAAATTTAATTGTTTGTAGAAAGTAAAATGGCAGTAATTTGTTTCAGATCCTTGCGCTGATGTGAAATGTAGAGAACCCGAGATATGTCAGCTAGACTCTCAACGGATTCCCGTATGTCGATGTGGAGATACTTGCCCTTTAGAATTCACCCCCGTGTGCGGTTCAGATGGAAAAACCTATCCGAATGAGTGTTCTTTACGACAAGAGGCTTGCCGAACCAGAAAAACTCTCAATATTATTTACAGAGGAAAATGCAGCACAGGTACATACTTTTTCCAGTTCGATATCGGTAATCTCAATCCTTGGGATGGGATAAAGTGTGGCAAAAGTTCCATTGGAAAAATAATCTATTTTAAAGTCGAGTGAAAAACGTTGATCTTGGCATTACATATTCTGGGGCAGCATCGAGGAATGTACAGGGCTGGCCTAGTTGTTGGATTCTTATTTTCCGATGAGAAAATATTTTCAGAAGAGCATGTAGCTAGGAATTATCTCATAGCCAGTTGAGATGTGGTTAAATAATTAAACCACTTCCAATTTTAAAAGCAAAACCAAACTTGAAAAATAGGATATAAAGTCGACTTACGATTATTTTTCTTGGGCCACAACCTTCGACTCTGAGCGTACAAAGTTTCTGACTCTTAAATGATCAAAGTGGTTTAATTCTAAATTAAATGAACGGTCAATAGTTGGACGTAGGTTTTTCATTTACTTGTCAAAGACCCACTTCGTCCATTTTTCTAAGTTCCGTTTTAGTTGGGCATATGCCTACTCGCTATAACTGGGGAAAACCATTGTGTTCTGAATACTGGAGTATTTTATGTTCATCATTTGCGATTATGGATTTACTTAAATGACGTAATGTTGATTTTTCTTTCATTTCGATCAATTATTTTTGATTTAATTAGTAATATAATTTTGTTTGATGCGCTAATGCACTGCTTTATGGGTTTATCAATTACCATAAAACACACCATCTGCGTGCAACGGCTAATCCTATTCTACATGGTAGTGTACAAGCACATGCTCTCATTTTTGAATGATATTTAGAGAGTATAGAATAAAGTCCGGGGTTCATTTTTTACATAGTGCGCAGTAGCACTAAACATTAACACAAAACCATTATGTGCATAAAGTGGATTTTTAATCATTTTCCTGCTAGTCATGATTTATTCCACATTTACAAAATATTAAGTAGCGCATTTGAGTAATACACATACACACGCCGAATTCCCAGCCTTTGTTTAAATAACAAAATTAAATATTACTACTCTACGAAATCGATGCTAAGTTCAAGAAGGCAAAAAAAACAACTAAATTTCCTCATTGTCATTTGCCTAAAACGTGTATAATGTATGACCCATGATAAGCTATTTTTTATCATATCATCATTAGTATATATATTTAATATATCCCATTAAAATTAAAATACCTGTCGACATTAAACTGCCAAAAGTGATATAAGGTAAACCTGAATTGCTTTCGCAATATGATCTTCCCAGTTTACCGAACAATTTACCACAACACAGGGCCTTCCTTATATTATTTTTTGATAATTTTGTTATTCAAAAACATGCGATAATCCTGATTCACCTGTTTAGGCCGCATTAGCTCTATTCTTTAATAGTGTTCTGCCTTACATTCTGGTGCAATTGTGTAAAGTGTTTGGGGTTTAGAGTGATACCTTGACGACAACGCAACTTTCAGCGTTGTCATTATTCTTGATAAAAACTGAGCTTTTTAGAGATTTACGTACGCAGCTGGAATTAATGACTGCTTTAAATAAGTTTGCCGCATTCAGCAACTAGTAATAAAAGTACAATTAGATTTCAAATTTCATATATTATGAATATTAATATTGAAATCTGATGATAAATTCTTGTAATCAACTCGCCCCTTGCAAACCATATAGTTTCAATCAGAATTGCACAAAATTTGGAGAGGCACTTTGAGGGTCTTTAAGAAAGCACAAATAGGATATATTAGGAAAATAACTTTAAAAGGAATAAAGTAAATAGCGCTGAAGTTGGCCAGTGTAAACTGTTTCCGTGGCTTATTGCGAATAAAATTTGTATATTTTAGACGTGAATCTGATTAGTTTGTATTATTCCGCCAGCAACAAAAACTGGTTTTCATTTTCAGCAATACTTATTGTTGAGATTAAAGAAAATTCAATTTAAATTTAAATTTTTCGCCGTACTAAAGGATTTCCTGGCTGAATTAACTAAAAATTAACTTCCGCCGATGTTTTTATTACTTCAAGAAAACCAATCGTCCTTTCATTTTCAACTTTCAACCTGATTTTGAAGCCAGCACGGTGGCATAAACAAGGGCAGAAATACTATTTGGTTAAAAGGAATACACCATGATTTAAGTGAGACCGTTATATTAATATTTGTTCCGGGATTTTTACGGCTTTCTACTGATGTCTTTTAGATTCTGCTGTTTGTAATTAAAATATATTCACGCGCCCATAGAAAGGAACGTTAAAAATGTCTAGTAAAATTTGGAGATAGTGCGGAAGGGTTTGTGTTATGAGCGCCGGGATTCCTGATACGTAAATGGTGTTCAGAATGGTGTCAAAAAATGTATTATTTCCCAATATTCTAATCGGCTATTATTTCCGAACAAAGCACAAAGTTTAATACACTATTACAAGTATTTTATAGGTATTAACCCATGCACGAGTGCCCGATGTACAGCAGGTCAAGAATGTTCAATAAATAAATTTGGCATTGCGGAATGTTTGTGTCCACCAGAATGTGAACCAACTATGCGACCAGTGTGTTCGAAGGATGGTCGAACTTTTACATCTGAATGTGAATTAAAAAGGGCAGCCTGTTTATCTCGTACAGAAATTGAGATCACTTATACAGGGGTGTGTGGAGAGAAAGGTCCATGTAGTGAACATGAATGTCAATTCGGTGCAACATGCGTAGAGATAGCTGGCTCTCCTCATTGTGAATGTCCTATTTGCTCCTCTGAATTTGATCCAGTTTGCGGCTCGGATGGTATTTCATATGGAAATAAATGTAAACTTAGACTTGAAGCTTGCAAGCATAGGAGGGACATAACGATCTTATATGGCGGACCTTGTAGTAAGTATTGACGGCATTAATTCCAGCTACCTAACTAAGGAAAATTATAGTCTGAAATATTTTAGTTTTTGCCTGCTGCAAAGTGCAAATTAAATACGTTTCAAACTTTAAGAAACTTCTAGAGCAAATAGCAAATTATTATCGATTCCGATAGCAGACACCCTGAAAAATGTAGACACAAATACGCACATTGATTATTAATTTTATGAAAGTGAACTTTTTTCATGGATTTCGGATCGGTTATGCCAAAAATCCCATCTATTATCAAAGTTAAAAGGACAATTTTTGATATTTTTAGGCACAAATATAAGTGATATTATCTATACTTAGTTTCCCTTTACTCTAAAAATAAACTATACGTGATTAAAAATATGTTTTCATCGAAACTCACATTTTCCGAATTATTTTTTATTAACACTGCACCTTTCCTGTGCACCGAAAATTTCCTTCTCGGCTAGCTACGGAAGCAAGCGAGCACGGCTTGAACAAATCTGTGCTTACTCATAATTTGCCATTAGTTTCTTTGTTTTTTTGTTGTTCATGATCACGTCTTTAGTTAACACTTAAAAGAATCACTATAAATTTACAAAAATGTTATATGTCACCATCGGTTAATAAAATTGGTAACTTTATACCATGTATTAATAAGATAATGTGTTTGGCACTGCTAGTTTTGGAGCGACACCATTTTTTGTATTATAAGCTTTATCTGACTAAATATAAAATAATTACCAATATTTAAGTTAGTTTACCAAAGTTCTTGTGAGTATCGAGCCTCCATTCAATTTAACCCTTATGACGATAACGGGGCTGGCTTATTTATGCTTTTTTATATTTTTTCGTATTTTAAGTGATTGATTTATCTGTTTTATACCTTATTTGATGGGTATCTTAGCATTTAAGCCTTTAACTCCAGTTAACGCAATTTTTTTATTATTAAATGGGCGCTTTAATTTTTAACGGTTAAACAAAAGAAAGTACCTAAGCTTTGGAATATTGTTCGAATTGTGACTTTCTTAAAGGTCATTGTAAACTCAAACTGACGTCCCCTTAACCGTTTAGAAGCTTACTTTAAATCTCCCTTGCGGGAAAGCTTTCGACCTGTAAGCTGTTTATAATGCTATATATGAAATAAAATCGCTAACGTCTTTCAGTTTCAGATGGATGTGAAAACATGAAATGCGATTTCTATGCAGTTTGCGAAAGCAATCGGGCCTCAGAAGAGCGCTGTGTCTGCCCACAGAAATGCTCTGATAAGGTAAGATTTTACTATTACTTATTATTACTACCTTTATACTAATTGTTGACGTCAATAATATATATAATGGGTATTGAAGTGGGTACCGCAATTTGACGGTTTTACGAGTACGAAAGCGCTTTTAATGAAATAAACGCGAATGGAAAATTTTATGTTACCTCTTCTAGCGTGAAAATTGCCAACCAACAGTACACGCTTCGGTGAATTCAAGGCTGACAAACTCCACTTTGAACTAAAATATAGACAGCGCAAACAAGCACGTCTTCATTACGAAAAAAACATTAAAGTTGTTACGGAGCATTATATAGTACCTTTCCTGAAATTTATATTTGCGTTTTCCAAATAGAGTTACTTTATTTTAAAATTAGGTACAACGTATTCATACGTCCATTTACGAACGTGGATTCAATAATTTTAAAAAATCATTTTTTTTTCAAATTTACCGAGTCACTTTATCGTACATGAACGGGAACTTGTCGCATACCACCACAATTCAACAACTACCCGCAAACATTAAACCATTTTAAGCGTCATATTTCCACTAAGCTAAAAACCGGTTAATTATGGTTACTTACGACACTAGTGTATAACACACACCTTATTGCACGAACGGTCTGATTTAAAAGACGAGCGAATGCTTTTAAAGGCTCCTGAGTGCAAAGAAGAGACTTTTTGCCGGGTCTTAAATGCTTTTATTGTAAATTATTCAACTCGTTACTAAGGGTTGTTGGTTGTACTTGTTTCTTAGCTTAAAATGTTCAGTGACTCTCATGTGATTTTTTAATTGAAGAAGTGATAACCAAAAAAACACACTGGAACAATATTTTATAGAAAAAAACGAATATCCACTTTGCATTACGGTATGAATTCATTTCCCTTATAAAAAAGCGCATTGAATTGAAAATTGCATAGCTCTGCAATGAAATTCGTAATTTAAAAACAGTTAGCCAACAGAACACTATTTTCTATTAAAACGAGGGAGCCATTTCAAATTAGAGAAAAGTAAACTTGACAATTGCTTGGCTGGATAGTTTGTCGCTGCTTGATCAAATATTCTTTCTCTTTGCTCCGAGATTCCCTTATTATGTGTAAGATAAATACAATCTACTCTTTGTGAATTCGGCAGAGAACGTTTTCATTGTCCTGATCCCATCATCTTTCTTGAACAAATAACGAAATGCGGTTTTTATTACGAAAACACGCAGAACGTTTTCATAGTTTAAATCTCATACCTTTTTTAATATCTGAGGAAAAACGTTGAATCCAAAAGAATTTTTTAAATTAATATCGTATGGATGTTGTCTGCAGGCATTTAGGGACGGTAACAGTTGATATCAAACGAAAGAAATTAATAAAAGAGGAATATAAGAGAAACAGGTTAATAAAACAGGTTTAGCTTAAACTTAACCAAAGACAAATAGAGGTGCAGAGTCCCGGTATTGTCGAGAGCGTTAATTCAAGCTAAGCCTTGGCAGGATGTCTAAAAATATATTCACTATAAAATTGAAATTCAAGTCAATGGAAAAAGCTGTTCAGATATATTTGACTTGGACTACTAATATTTACTTCACTTGTACTATGTTTTTACAAATTTAAATCGAATTGATTAGGTCAAGGGAATAAAGAATGGGTAATAAAAAGTCGCCCTAATAGACCTGATATTAGAGAAGACATTTTTTGCTACTTACTAAACCATATTCTATTTTACAATAACAAACCCTCATTTTATAAATATTGAGTTAAAAAAAAGTGAAAATACTAGTCATCGCTTTTGCTTTATTAAGCTTTGATGTATGTAATAATGGATTCAGCAAGCGAGGTGCAATGATCACACTGCCGACATAGAAAGCAATACAAAATCTGTTAAATATTTTCAGTGGCCATGTGATCAATTCTGAACAGATTCAAATAACCAGTAGCCACATAAAAATCCTCTTAATATCAGTGTTTTTGGAAACAATAATAGAAACTCAATTACGTTATTGTATCATAAACGGTTTTAATATTCAATGGCGGAGCAATACATGTTTTTATTGGTTGTCTGGTTGATAAAACAGCCAACTTGGAATTATACCGCAACATGTGCCATTTCCAGTGTTCCATAAATGTTAATTTCCATATCGCTATATCCGTATTTAAAAAAAAACATATGAATAAATCGTTAGGTAGTCGAGAAGCGAATATCTAGGACCAGCATCAGGTGCCAGATATTGTACTAATGAAAAAGAATCGTGTTCAATTGAACTATGTATATTTGGGTCACGTACGGATTTATTGAAATTTCGTATTTATATTCCGGGTTGGTTCTCATAATTCCGGTTAGTGCATAGATGATAGTTAAACACATTTGTTCCCTTAGCTCGAGAAAGCACCAGTCTGTGGAACAGATGGAATCACTTACGTGAATGAATGCGAACTCCAGAAAAAATCGTGCAACGCCAAGATCCATGTTGAGGTAGCTTTTAAAGGGCATTGCGGTAAGTGTGAAATAATGTGATTTTTCTCCATACTAGAAGTTTTTATAGAGTTTACTCATAATGAACTAATGTATTGACAACAATTTTTGTATATGACTAATACTAACAGTTGCTAAAAATGCAAAGTAATTGTTTGTGCCAATATTGTGCTGATGGCATCTAACCAAAATGCTGGCCAGTTACACTTAAAGCTCAGATATATTATCTATGAAAAATATTGTAAACCCATCTAAAGTCACCGTTTCCAAAAATTGTCAACCGATAAGCAGGAAAATTTCGTTCTCTTACTTACTTACTCACCCCGTTTCCATTTTATGGTATTTTTGTCTAGCGAATCAAAAGTATAACACTAAATATGAAACGTTCTTACGTTTACCGCTATTTCAAAGAACAGCTTCTGCCTACGGAGAGTAAAACAAAAAAAACATTCCAATACAATTTGTAGGGCAGGCAATAATTTTTTCATTGGGATAATTCTTTTGACTTGAACCGTTTAAACCGCAGATATGTTTATGGTCATATAATAATAAATTTTGTTTCCAAAAATTTAGATAAGGTCATAAGATGGTTTGTATGTATAAAGCCATTCTACTATTATTATTATCTAATAAGACAGGAAATTGTGATCGGTTCCAATATTTCTATTGGTTCTTTTGCTCGTGTGACGCTTTTTAGGAAATATTTCAAGAAGAAAGGTTAGAGTTAAATATTATACTTAATACTATAAGGGTTTCGAGAACAGCTAATATAGAGTAAGTCCCAGAAGTAAGCTAAATTTATTTAAGATTCAGGGGTGTGTTTCTTGGAAAAAACTCCGACCTGTGAATTATGTTTTAACGCAGTTTCTTCTCTCGAAAATACATTTACACAGACTGGCCCAAAACGACATCACTACAATCAAAAGTAGAAAACAAAGTATCTAAGTATTATCTAGTGAATTCTAAACATGATTAATACCGAAACGCAATATGACTTAAGATGCAAGAAGAGTTTATTTATAGCCATTGTAAACATTTAATTTAATTGTTGCTTTCTTTGTTAAAATAAATCGATATTTTTCAGGATTTTCAATCGTACATTTTTCGGTAACTGCTTATAGTAAAGGACTATAGCACATGTTATGTTGTGACTTATCACTGAATTGAAAATTTAAAATTGAAATAAAAAGAAGGGACTTTCATTTGACAAAAAAGTTTAGGGTTGTAAGTAATTTTTGAGCCACCCTGTGAAAATAAATTTGGGATAGAAAACTGCATTTACAATTGAAAATTGACGGCTCTGGGCTTTTTTTAACGCGGCCCGCTTAGTTTTAAAATAATTTAGACATTAGTTCTGGAACCCGCTATATACAATGTTTGCAGCCATATTGATATGAATGGTTATTGGTGGAAGATCGTTTTCACCAAACACATATAATTATCACATTTTGCAACCGATCATGAAATTATGAATGCAGGATTACAACCATAAGTTGAGGAAACAAGCTCAAATTTTAATTGAAAATTTAACGAGTGAAGACCAGTGCTCCTCTGTTACACACGCTTCTCAAAAATTTGCCATTCTTTCCACAGCATTATTAATATTTAGGCTAGTTCTTGCATATCCAGCATTAACAAAGGCACATTTAGCAGCTGCAAAGTTTACGGATACTTATAGATCAGTGAAAATGTGCCTAATTTGAAAATTCCAACTGTTCCCACTAATCTAATTTTAATCAATTTTAGGAAAGGGATTATGCATTTCAGGTTCAGTGATTAATAGATGTGTTATTGCAAATGTTACAGTTATTCATCAGGGAAATTTACTAATTTATATTTACCATACTTTCACCGGAACAAAATGCAAAAAATGCTGTTCTCGCCAATATTCTTTCGGCATATTGTATTAGTTTCGATGTAACCGGACATTTCAACAAACTTTCATCAAACCCGGAAAATTACCCGAGAGAAGCAGAAAAGTGCGTGCTAATAATTTCTACCTAATGGAATATCTGCAATCTAAATAATCATTTTGAATTTCACTACATTTGTGGTAGCAAATATGAGAATCAATAAAATGAAAAATTTTCATGTGCAAACCTGTTGAAAACGCTTTATTGAACTATAGTAGAGAATTTATTCTCTATAGAGAATAAACGCAATTTCAACGATAGGTAACTAATGCATAAACTCTGTGCGATAGCTATTAATTGCGACATAACAGGAAACTATTTCCTCTTGACTGCCTGTTACATGGTTCGTGTAGTTTACAGGCAACTTGACAATATTTTCAAAGTTAAGAAATGGTCCGTTGAATATTGTTAGAACGCCAAACGTGATTAAACTAACCGTGTATAAAGCAAACAAAATTTTTAAGTATGCTTTAGGTGCAATAATGTTGACATATCAAACAATGATTTCAGATTTATGCAAGAACGCTGAGTGTAAATACGGGGCTCGATGTGAAGCTGGGGAATGTGTGTGCCCAACGAATTGCGATGGTTCCGGCGACGAGCCTGTTTGTGCATCAAACATGATGACATATTCAAACGAATGTGAAATGCAAAAAGCTATGTGTCAAGATTCGCCTAGTTACTCGAGTTCTTTGAGTGTCGTTTTCTTTGGCGACTGTCGGGAACGGTTCCCCACGGGCAACAGTAAGTTTAAGCTTTTGTTTCATTTGTCTCACTGATCTCTAATTATGTAGCGGACTAATGATTCACAATAATAACCCTGGATGCACCGTGCACAATTTAGTTGAAACGGAACAGAAGATATATGACTTTGTAATCATACCGGTCCTCGAGTTGATGACTAATTAGTTAAATGTGAGATTCAATTTGTAAGCTGAGGCTACTTAACATGGCCAGTCAAATCGGCTGTTCCTCCAATGCTAATGTAATGAAAGTGCATTCCAGTTGGAACGCATAATCGCCTTAGCTCAGCTAACTTCACGCTATTAACTTCTAATGGTGCCCCTGTAGCTACGCTTGCCTCATTGACCAACGCTCCCCCAACTGAATCGGCTACAGTGCAAACGGACAACTTTATCTCCAACATGAGTGGCAACGCTAAAGAGGCTTGCAGGGATATACACTGCGACTTTGAGGCAACTTGTGAACTGGGTCCCGATAATTTTCCACGATGCACATGCAGATTTGACTGTGCCAGTGCTGCTCTGGCAAATCCTGTTCCAGCTAAGCCCGTATGCGCTTCCGACTTAAGAATTTACCCCTCAATATGTGCGATGAAAATGGAGGCATGTCAAAGGCAGGAAGAGTTGCGCCTGAGACCGTTAGAGCTTTGCCAAGGTTTGATTAACTAAACACCCAACGCTTCTATCTATTAATTTGGTCGCTTTGCCTTTCGATTAAGTTTCGCTTCGAACGTAAGAGGTTTTGCCCAAGCAGACTTCTCTGACGGTTTACCGCGTCTCGGGACACTTTGCACGTAAAATTAGACCTGATTATGTTTGTTCACACTCACCTAATAAAACCTGCAAGCAGGGACGCACGTACCTACTCAGCTACGGAAGAACTACAAAATATTTCAGGCTTTTATCAAAGAAACAAAATTAACTAAGACTATCACTTAGGTGTGGAACAACCGCCGTCATTATCTATATTTAAATACAGTTGCAAAGTTTTAGAAAATCATATAAAGCACATACAAATTGCATGACGTGACCACGATCATCCATCCCGGAGGTTCAAGAGCCTAAAATTATTTTAAAACATTTTACGAAACTCAACAGAAAACTGCTGATTCGGAAATGTTTGAAATTATTTAATTAAATATAACTGTTTATTTATTCAAATTGTTTGTCTCTGTGGCTACTCATAATGAAGAGAATTCTGGAACCATTCAGAGGAGGAGTTGGAAAACATATTTAAAAATCGCAAAGTAATACAATCTCAAAACTTTAGAAAGTGCAACTGAAAACTTAAACATTATTTGACATAACCATGATTATAGATCCTGAACGGGCACCCATAGGCACTTAACGGAAAACTGCAGTTTTGAAAATGTTCGTAATTATTTAATTATTTAATTAAATGAGGTTACTAACTGTTTACACTCGTATGTTCAAATTGTTTGTGTCTTTTGCTAACAACAATGGAACCTTTGGCAGTATATAAATAAAGAGTTTTTCGTTGTCCGATTATTATAACATGAAACGGATCTTTTCTTGTCGTAGCGGACAAATAATTTGTGGAATAAGAAAAATTATTTGTCCCCTACGCCAAGAAAAAAATCCCTTTCTTTTGACAGTATAAGTTCATTCATTTTTGCAGTCGAGTCCTATATCAACATTTGATCGCTCCTACTAAGAATGATTCCCAAAAAGAAAGCTAATAAGTAGTTCTTCGCATTCTTTAATTCCTTTTTCTAATGTGATCCGATTCGTTTCCGAACTGATCCAAAATAATCGGGGATTTATCAAATAAACACATTTCTCTTAACTGCCTTAGTGAAGACTGCTAGGGCAAAGTAAATAAATGACTTCAGCTTTCGTTTTCATTCATTTAGACTAGATTACTAGGATCGTTTCCCCTCAGGCTTTAATCAGAAAAGTGACTTTACTATTTCTATTTTGCGGCAATTGAGACGATCGACAGAAAAATAGCTTGTGCATTGATTTAGAGAGCACAAATCTAGAAATAAAAATTGACTTTATAGATCACTTCTTTAATCAAAGGACCATTTTCTTTTAATTAAAATTCTGAAACTAACTGAAAATGCGATAAGCTTAGTTAGTATTAAGTTACGTGGAACTAAGGTCGTAGGTTTAAATCCGAGCTCGTCGGCTCTTTTGTGTTTCACTTGTGATATTTTGATAGGGATGGAAGTGAAGCCGTGCAAGGGCGAAAAACCCGTTACAGACCCTGTTACAGGAAGGGAGGTAGATTGTGGCAACGGGCCTTTCCGACAAGACTGCCCTTCTGGCACTTACTGCCATCAGACGACCCGCTTTGCGCGGTGCTGTCGTAAAGGTAAATTGGAAGTTGCGTTTTAATTATTTTATTAACACAAATAATGCCCTCTCAAATTTCTTCAATAATATCACATTTGTATTAATAAATTGGGTTTTGAAACCCCTGTTCTTCAATATGGATTGTATCAACTCTACCGAAATCCATTTCCTTAAGTCTGCGAATAGCGCTTTCCATTTGGTTCTAAGACCTAACTGTTTAGCCCGATAAATATACTTAATCGAGTTTCAGGCCGCGATAATTCCTTCACACGTTAGAATATTCATTCCAGTTCAACACTTTCTAGTTGAAACATTATAAAAATAAGTTTAAGTGCTTTAATTTCAGGAAAATCCCGAGAGATTAAATACAATAACACTGAGGTTAACTCAAAAAATCACTTTTACGGATATCTGCCAAGAATAACGAATATTAAATTTGAACAAATATAAATGCTATATTTAAAATGATATTTCCAACCCTGAATTAATTAAAACCAAGTCAGTCTAAGTACCACTTCAAGGACGATACTAAAGCATTTACTAATTGCACAACGTAGCACAAAAAATGAAGTTTCCTCTGTAGGAACCTCTTAAGAAACTTGTTTTAATTAGTTGATTCTACAAAGAATTGCCCTGTTTAGAAATATTAATAATTTGCCATACCGTCGACTAGCGGCTGGACGAAAGTTCTGAAGTTTTTATTAAAACATCCCGGAGCTCTGGTTTAAAGCTACATTTGATATCCAAACTTTTTTTAATAAAATATACAGGTTTAAGTTTAAGGTTGGCAAAATAGAATAAACTTTTTCTAATAAATGCAACAAAACAATTGTCATACAATTTAAGAAAAATTATCAAAATTGAAGCAAAATTTGTAATATTTATATATTGTATTTATATATTGTATATGTACAAGTATTTAATTTTTAGATAAAAATTTCATTGAAATGAAGAGTTGTGAAGATAGCTGGTTTGGGTGTTGTCCCGATGGTAAAACACCCGCCGAGGGTCAAAATTTCGCAGGCTGTCCATTATCTTGCGGTTGTAACCGCCTAGGAGCCTATTCGGAATACTGCGACGTAAAAACTAATAAATGCAAATGCAAACCTGGAGTAGGTGGAGATAAATGCGATCGTTGCGAACCTGGATTTTGGGGTCTCCCGAAAATCTCCACAGGATTTAAAGGATGTTTGCGTAAGAGTTTTCTTTGTTTTGATAATTTGCACTCGAAGGTAGAAAATGCTACCGGAATTTGTCTTGCTATGTATTTTCTTAAAAGAACTTTAAAATATACTGCAAGGCGTATTTGTCTACCTACATTTGAATGGAACGCAATCCTCTTAAACCCACTTAAATAAATTTGGCTTCTAGCTGATTACAGACAAATCCTCTTTGCCAAATATTTTATAACAAAAACCTGCCAACGATTCACATATTTCTCATTCTACATGCATCGATGACATCATATTCAAATCAATTACTCGATTTTTATTTCGTCATTACATTGAAGGACAGCCGCAACCAAAATATCGCATTGCTCATTGACATGGGTGCATTTATGCACACGATATTTATCAAATTACCTTAAAAACGCGTGAAAACTAAGCAATGGAAAGCCGCATACATGTAAATATACAACGCATTGCCCGTGCAGATCACTCGATCTGTGCGATGTAGCATTTTTGGCTATTGCTTTTTTTATCAAAGTATACTTTAAATATTGCCCTAGTGGCTGCAGATGCAATAATATAAATTTCGCAATTTCAAAAAAATGGTATTGTACATCTGCCTTTGTCAAGCATTTAGCTAAGGTTTCTCAAATCTTTTTTTCTAGCAATTGCTCCATGATTTTTAGAAAATTTCTGAGTGAATGAAAAGTAAATCAGCAGTTGTAAAAGGTGAAAGAGCGTAAAAAAATTGCTTCGATTGTGTCACCCTAAAATAAGCAAATCCGTATTGTATAATTAACAGAACGATTTATATTATACAAAAAAGTGTCCCATTGTTTAGTTCTGTATTTCAGTTAACAAAAATTTTAAATATAATTGGAAAGGATTTGCAATAATGAAGTTCTTCAAAAAATCTGTGGACAAAATGTTTAAGATTTATTTATTATCTAGCAGTTGACAAATCTGAAATGGTCGTCTAAAAAATACTGTTTGAAGAACGAAACACCAGCTCAAATTTCACTTGGGAAATTGAAGAAAAGACATTTTTTACTTTAACTAAGAAGTTTATCAGACGCTCGCGCTTTTCGGAAAATACATCGAAGACAATTATCAATTCTGAATTGAGACACGCCATTGAGGAACTAAAATTTTCCATTTCTGTAAAACTTGAAATTATCAATTTTTAGCTTGTGGTTGTTCCATATTCGGTTCCGTAAGAGATGATTGCGAACAAATGACCGGTAGGTGTGTTTGTAAACCAAGCGTACAAGGTCAGAAGTGTACAGTTTGCACAAGCCACAATAAAGTTCTTGGACCAAATGGTTGTATTTCAGGTAAGGTCTTCAACGAGCCACTGCCGTTCTAATCCGCAAATCTCATTTAATTCCCGAATACTTGCTTTCTCGTGTCTTATTTAATTTTCCTTTCGTGTTTTTCGCCAAATATTTTTACTTTTCCGAGGTAACAATGAGCCATCCAGAAGCAAATACATTCACCGAATGTATTATATCTGGGTAATTTAATTCTCTGTAATATTCTATAGCTGATCTTACGACGACTCCTCCAGCTACGTGCAAAGAATTGACTTGTTACTTCGGAGCGACATGCGTTGAAAGAAATGGATTCGCTATGTGCGAATGTCATGAACAATGCCCCCAGGACAATGAGGTGCAAGTACGTATTCTGAATATATTTTACATGTTTTTGGAAACGTGATATTTCCAGCAAAATTTATTTTGTGTTTGCATATGAAAACTGACAATTTTTTTAATGAATTAACTCTCATACATTGTCGGAAAACTGAAGCAACTGATTAGTGATATTTAAATTCAAATTAGAACGTGAGGTAGTTTAGCTAGGTTTCTGCAGTTAAAAAAATTGGTAGCTGACGTTCACAGTTTTCAAGAGAAAACTGCTGATCTCGTAATTAGGAATTACGTTTTGCACAAATCGGTTGCTTAGTGATAGCTGTTTTAAAATATGTTGGAATTAATAGACTAAAATTTTGTGTTCAATGTGTTTACTAAAAATGGTAAGCATTTTCTTTTGCTAAAGCATGGGCGCTCACTGCAATCATTTTAAATTCAATTTTGTTTCCTGTGTTATGATTTCCTTTTCGATTGACGTTCATGGAATGTTTTCAAACAAGATTAAATTCAGATACATATTTTAACGTCCCAAATAAACTTGGATTAATCTGTGCTAAATTTGATTTTGGTGCATTCTTCTCGAAACCAATTTGTAACAGCAAAATGTAAAAATAACGCACGGTGGACTAACTTTATTTAGCTTTGCGCGAACTTCCCCTGAATTTCTAATGGCTACTTAAAACACGGATATTCGGAGCCGACATTAATATCGTACCCAAACGTGGGGTTGAACAATAAAATATCCATGTTCGATTACACTGCAGTTAGAATCAAATCGATATGGTAAAGGCAATTAAACTGGTACGCTTGGTGACGAGAGATCATACATCGAAGTAATTAAGAAAATATGACATTAAATATAACTTTTATTTATGATTCAGCACATTAAACAAACAGCGAAAATTGTCCATTGTCATTAGTATGACTGTTGCAATACAATCAGAGAACTATAATTAATAAGTTTTAATGAGGCTCGGCTCAGTTAATTGATCCAGCAATAAACTGAATAGCATGATTAATGATGTTTCAGATTGTCTGTGGTAGTGATGGTCACACTTACAATTCACCCTGCGAGCTGAATGAACTGGCCTGTCGGCTGCAAAAAGACGTTGTCGTTCAGGCATTTGGAACTTGTAAGGGTAAGTGGTTGGGGATGAATTCATCCAGTTTTGTCGCTTTCAGCATTTCAGCAATTGCCCTTTATATACAAAATCCCTAATTGCATTTATAATCAATTATTTTACCAAGTCATCTAGGTAATTATTCTTGGATATGTATTATTCTGGTGTAAGAGGGTAGTTCAAATTGCTCTCTCCTACACTGAAATTAAATGAAACGCTATTTGATCCAAAAGTGCTTGTTACTATCTACTAAACACACGACCACATCAAACTGATTAGTTTTATTGGACCCTGGTCGCAAACATTGACATTTTTCGAATACAAATTGCCGATCAGCTCAATTTTCGTTGATCAATTCCGAATTACAATATCAAAAGCTATTTTTGGGGAAACTACGGATTGCACTTGAATGAGAATTGAACGTTAGAAGAAACCAGCGCGCAATGTTTTTAACGGAAATTTATGTCTATTTAATTTTGCATCAATAAAAAGATATAGGAATAAATATTTTCGTTTTGTGCAAATGCAGTTTGAACAAACAATTTAGGGATGGGTTTTGGTATCACCAAAGTTTTGTATTTATCAAAAATTGTGTACGGTGAGTCTCAGAGTTAATGTCTAAATTCATTTAAAATTCAACAGACTGCTTTCACGGAACATTTTTGTTTTTTAAGAGAAAATACTTTTTATTTCAACTGTGAATTTGCGATTGAATTATAAGTATGGTTCAGGTAACATGTGCTATATCTAAACTCAACTCAACACTGTATCAATAATTAATGATTAATTGATTAATGATAATCAATAATAATTAAGTGACGATTTCTTTCAAATTTCTATAATACTGAAACGAACCGATTTGTTTCAAAAAACAAAACAGCAATCAAATTGGATTTTCGAAATCTGTGCCCTTTGCGGGTTGATAGGATCTGACTCGACTGATGAATGAATTGAAATGAATTGAACTGATGAAATTCTTGTACGTTTTCAACCATTTCCAAAGTTATAGGACGCACTTCTTTGAGGATCGCCTCTTTCAACTCTTGTAGATTGTTTAGCCTGTCAACAAACACTTTCGATTTAAGGTATGGGGGGCGATCACGGTGGATTTCATTAAATAATTGAGCTGCTTCGATCTGTTCTATGAGAGAGCTACGAATTTTTCTAGTGCCGTTAACTTTACCATTTTTGTCAGAAACAAACTATTGCCTTGGATGCGACGAATTTTCAAGGCATCGTGTTTCTTTGGCAAATAATGTTTTAACTCGTAAATTCCTCGAGCCTTGTTGAATTTGAAAATATCAAAATATATCAAAATTTGAATAAAAACGCGGCACTTACATTTAAAAATGAGACTTTGAGAATTAAGTGTCAAATTTGAAGGTCGAAATGAAGTAATGGTCATAATTTATTTCTGGATCAACCTGTTTAAATAATATTTCCATAAAAAACTGCGAAAAACCGCTAAGCTGTATTTTAAATGAATTTAGACATACTTTTGGAACTCACTATATATGAAAAGTGATCAGTTCAATGGCAATGAATTTACATGATTAAAATGGCAAATATACACTTTCAATACAGAGCAAATAATTTGGTTTTTGATTTATTTCAAACTGATCCTTGGTCGGCAAAAAACGTGCAAAAAGCTTCTCGTTTTCCTTTTCAACCTGAGCTATAATTGTATGCACCCTACTTTGAGACGAAAATAATGCGAAGAATATTTGTAATAAAATTCCAGATGACATGTTTCCTGGAACCGATTGGCCTCTACGCCGCTACACACCCCTTCAATTTACCCAACCCGATGAAGGTAATTCTCCACTATCGAAATCAACCAGGCACCTTTTGGTGCCTGATTCCAGGTTTTACTACGGAAGTGCTACGCGACCTTTAGCTTCAGACGTGAAAGACACCAAAGGTGAGCTTTTTACCAATTTAACCTGATTTCATCTAATGTTTGCGATGTAATTACCAATAAGTAGCTTGTGAAATAAATAGCAATAATAACTTACTGGTGTAATGACTTGCAATTACTTCCCAATAGAATTATTGGTGGTTTGTACGACTAACCTGAACTAACTCGGTGAAATTCAGTTGAAACACTAACAATGGCCTTTTTTATATCGTACAAAGCTCCAATTAATCAAAAGACATGTTTCTAGATGGCGTTGTTGCTCTAGTTTACAGACCAACACCAGCTACGGTCAGAGTAACCGCGCTATTAGGAGACCTTTGCTCTAAAACCTCAGATTGTATGATATTGAACAGCTATTGTGTCGAAGGAGCCTGCACTTGCTTACCAGATTATTACGCCTCAAACGACAGACAAAATTGTATAGGTAAGGCGTCAGGCGACATAGCGAAATTGCTTCGAGGCTTGAACAGAACGATTAATTCGTTTGTCCCAGTAACACATGTGCAAAGAAATCAATATTTATCAAGTTCAGCATCAGTGGCTCAGCAAGGAGTTTTGTATTCCAATTGACTTTAACCCTTGCCATTTTACATTCGGAAGTCTCCAACCGGAAAATTGAGGTATTTACGCAGACTCTCTAAGCGCATGCATGAATTAAACAAATGCATCACGACGGAAAACATGCGGACATATTCACTTATATATGCAAAATAGAAAGCCTCTCTATATCCAAGGACATATTTTATCACATGTCATTCTCAATTAGCGTCATTCGTTTGGGCATGTTCTACTAGACAGTAGTCAACACAGCATTAACCATTCGCTTTTTATAAATACGTATCTGTAAAAATATGCGAAAATAACCGAACAGATTTAGATCAAGGAATGAGACCATTATAAAAAAAATGACAACTGGAATTAAAGCCTTCATTCTTATCTTGAAAGTCTTGAAACTTTCAATGCTTTGACTTTCTTCGTTGAGTGCAAAAAGCAGTTCCTGTATTAGAATGCGATCATGGATAGGAACAGATTCGTATGAATGTAAATCTTCAAAAACCAATACGCACGAGCATTTTTTTAAACCTTTTTCTCTTACTTAGCAAGTAGCCTACAATAACCTCTTGAAAGGGATCACGCCAACTTTCAGTGGTAAGCTATTTGAAAAACCAACCTTCTTAGCTGGACTTAATCACTTCGTCTTTCTCTACCTTAAATTACTTGCAAGTTTATAAGAAATATATTTACTTCCATGTGATTTGTAAATTATGAAGAAAATCTATTACAAGACTTCTCATATCCGATTAGTTAAATTCGCTGAAATAGCGGTTAGGAAGCATAAGAAAATGGCAGTGTGTATTCATTCTCCTCCATCTCAAGTTTCCTTTGCACTTTCACAAAAAGTAATCGTTCAGCTAGAACAGCAGTGCGTGTTCGATACTTGTGCCTATTGAATTGACTAATAAATGAAAATTGCGTTACATTTTAAATTTAAAGCATCATATGAAAAGTACTCACTCAGAAAAATATCTTAAGAACGAACAAATTTAACTTTTTTCTAATCTGCTTCCTAAAAAGTAGTGTTTCGTAAAATAGCGGTTTTAATTTTTTACTGTAACACCTGCGGTAAGGTCATATACATATATTGCAAACACATCTCCGAATTCTGTTTGTATATTCTATATATTTCACATGTCATAGTTTGGATTTTCGAGGGACATATTTTATTCAAGATTTGCGCTTACTTCACAGTATTTGATGGATTTGCTGGCATTTGCGTATATTTTTTCTTTAGGGATCAGAGCAGAAAGGGTAATGCAAATACCGGAAAAATACATTATCTTATTTTTTCCTTTCAGAGATCCCCTTTCGCTTATAATAGAATATATAAATGGAAAGTCGAAGAAGTGTGTTATATTAAAAAAGTCCATTAGAAAGACTTTTGTGGCTTCATTGTAGAAAATTGAGCAATAGTCATAAACAGTTACAAAACTTATATACTAGTTTACTTCTGCATTTCCAAACATTTAATTGATCAAAAAGCCGAATTAGCAAATGAACGAATCGTCATGTTAAACCTGTAAACAGTAGTTGTTTATTAGATTTCAGTTCGTTTTGCATTTGATTATATCCCGTTGTGGCATTAGCGCCTTCCATAGGTGTAATTTCACCAAATCAATCATTTTGTTCAGGCGTGAAATGGAATATTTAGAAAATCCTAATGCAACGAATATTGATGTTTTATTATTTCACTAGCCAAAAACTGTTTGTGACAATAAAATGTGAAATCCTGTTTACTTTCGATATTCTCCTAGAATGGTAGTAGATAATTGAAAACCGTTTATTTCAAGTCAGGCGTTAATCATAAGAGTTGGTTTTTTAAGAACACTATTGATCTAAATGTCCATAATAAATATATCTTTTTTTATCTTTGGCCCAGCTAACCAGGTTTGAAAATAAATTAGACATCCATATAAATCGATAGTGAATCACAGAGAAAGTTTACATTTTTTAAATTATTTGCTCAGTCATTGGTTTTGACTACTAGTGGTTCTTCAGACTAGATTTCAGAATGAAATGGAACGAAAAGTGATGGTTTTCTGGAGGTTCCAATGTACTGTTTGGTCACTTTTCAAATCAGCTTTGCAAATGTTACATTAATGCTAATGTTAGGGGTCTGAAAGCATTAAGTATTTTGAAACTTCTAGAGAAATATCCCTAAGCGAACATTAACGGAAGCAGATCACTGTAAGGCCTAATCCCGTTTCTGTTCTACGACCGCTATGCGCCCTAAAAGTCTTCAAACGCCTACGAAATCCATACTCGATACAGACAATTTTATGATGCAGTGTATAAAATTAACTTATAAATCACAATTCAGCAAAAGCTCATAAAAATGAAAACCTTTAGAGGGACTTTAATGACTACTTTGGAAACTGCTCTGAACATTTTATGGTGCATTAAATGTGTTCATCCTAGTTTTGTCTTTGCAGGGGAAAATAAAATATGCATTTAATTAGATTTTAGGTACCAATATAATCAAGATTATTATTTTTTAAGCGAGGCAAATAATAGTTAATTAGTTAAAGGGACTATTATTTGTTGCAGTTTCGCTCTTTTGGAATTACACGCCAAGTTTTTCTTACCGGAATTGAAAATTGCGAAATAAGTGCACACGCTTATCTCAAATAAAGTGATTCAGTTTTCAAAGGTTTACATGGAAATCATGGAAATTAATGAAAGTCCCTAAAACTTGGCGCATGAAAACCTTTGGAACCAAAGGAAATTTGAATTAGTTATGTTCCATTAATAATGTAGATTCCAATGAGTATTATTCGAAAAGGTCATAAACCCAACGAACTCAGACAAGTACACTAGGGAACTAGTGGAGGTGGTCCAATTCTTAGTTGAACAGCAAAAGATAGAGGATGTATTACCACTTATTCTTATTTATTGGAATGAAATGGCTTGTGTTTGACGATATTCTTACCATGTCAAATATACCTATCGACATTTTTATTCGCTTGTATTCCGAAAATACTTTCATTGATATTTCTAAGCATACATATATGATTCATATATCATATTTGGCTCAACTGTACATGATTATGATTGCTCATGATAATAAATTTGTTGACGTTTCGCCTGCGAAAATGCTATGTTTCCTAGGGCTCTTATTTATTGTACTTGGTGCTCATATCATGTCGAGATTTATTGTCATAGTTAATCATCGTTAGACTATGTGAAATTATTCCTTACAGTTATACTTTAATATAAAATACATTTAGTTCTATAGGTTTCAAGTAAAATTGTAACCGATTCTGCTAAAGTTGCTCCAATTTATCATTGCGTAACAGCTGCCTGATCAGTTATGTACTTGTTTTCTTCATTCGATAAATCTGCGGTTATGCAGCATACGGAAAAATAAAAATTAATTCAATACGCATTTCATGTTGTCTCACATCCAAAATCACAAAAGTTTTAACCTAAAGAGTACCTATTAATCTAAATATATGCGTGGAAAAAACCTGGGTACAATGTGTTAACACTGTATTAAAACAACAATACGGTTTACCTGCCGTGTATTTAGGTGACGCGTTGTTGCATAATCGCTTATTCAACAATAAACTACTTATGCCGGCGTGCTACAATTAACAACGAGAGTTCGGTTGTGATTTGCTAATATTCCAAAGTTTGGAGTGGCTGATAAACTCCATTAACGTTAGTAGATCTAAAAACGTTTTATAAATCGAACTAATTGTGACGAAAATATATGACTTTTGCAGCAAATGTTTTAGTTTTTTTTTGTAAATATACATTAAAATTCAACTGTAGTATAAAATGACCCCTTATTATTAGCAATAAACTGAAGATCAATCGTTCTATTTAAAGGTTTCAACTCATATTTGAATTTTGCTCAAAATCTAAATTTCTTAACACTCTTGATGGTTCAATGCATATTTAAAAGTTAATTTGCTCGTTTCGCGTCAAATTCCTTAATATATTCTCCGTTTTCCGCCGTTCAACTGTTGGAAATTAAATCTAAATACTACACTTTCTTACAATTCAGGCCCTCACGTACTCGGTTGCGCTCAACTTCACTAAAATTTAATTAGAAGAAAATGTGTATTTTACTTTATTTAGGTTTAAACAGTCTAAAACCTATTATAGGAAACCCGCTCTCGCAACAATCGACCAATCTTAATTGAGGCAGCTTTAACGAATTAATGAAATGGTTGTTCATACATGATATAATGAGTTGCATGAATCAAAATGCACTGGTTTGAACGCTGTTAAATGTGTGAGGTCAGACCTTATCAACCTAATCATACGCGAATAAAATCAATGAAAATGCCTAACCATGAATATTTCAATACGTTAATTTATGGGGCCCATAAAATTCCCGATAAAGTAAATTTTCGTTAAGCTAAATTTTAAATTATTCAGAGAAATAGGTCGCTTCATTAGTACGTCGGCTGGCTCCATTAATATTGTAGGTATCAAGAGAAATTAAAAATTACCAATTTATCTTTTCAGAAGGGAAGCCAATATTCGGCGATTAGCAAGATGAATTTCCGGATGCTTTAATATGAATAATAAAGGAATTACGTAAAATCGAAACAAACTGTAAAAAAACGCAAAATACAATCAAGCCTGATCAATTAGGTTTTAGCTAATAATTCCGGCGAGTGTCCTAAACACAGGTGTTATATTGGGAAACAGTTTTTAGATCTAAAAAGCTCTCAATATAGTTTCCCTTGTCTAGGGGCGAAATTAGATAAAAGGGGAGATACTACCGGAGGCACTTCCAACTCGAACAGCTTGGAATAATGGATACATCATTCTAACAGATTAAATTTACTATGGAACGCTTGCAATGAAGTTTTCATACACTTTTCATATATTTGTTAAAGTAATTTTGCTGTAAACGAGTTTTCAACATTTATTTTTTTTAGCAAAGATAATTGGTTCGAAAATTCTAAAAATGCAAAATGTGGCGATTTAGCGATTAACCGACCGTTAACAGAACATCTGTTAACAGTTGTTAAGAAAATATTAGAAAAAGGCGAACAGATTTTAATAACAATCAAAAATGTTTCTAAAGTTTCAATCAAAGCGATCAATCGGATAGACTCTTAAGAAATAGAGGTTACTTTGCCTAAAAGGACGCTCGAGATAATTCATCAGAAAACATTGTTTTCTAACTTAACTACATTTCTACCAAGCAAATTCATCATGTCTTCACAAACCTGCAATCTTCTGCTTGGATCATTTTCAGTTATTTACAGCATCCATTGTATTTTGGCAGGGTAATATTTTCGGCTTTTTCGTGATGGTAGTTATAATAGAAGTTTGAAAAATATTGTTTTCCATTGCCAGTAAACCGAGTTCCTTGAACCATTAGTGGTACATCAGTTTCAGTATTGTGTAAAACCGAAATAGATTTTTTCAAGTAACGATACTGATTCATTTTCATAAATATATTTTGCAGTTTTCTCTCAGTTCGTTGATTATTTAGAGATAAATCTGGATAGATTTAACACGATAAGAGACCTATTTTGTGCCAACTTCTACATGTTCCTCAGTAGAGAACCACTACTTAATTTTCCGGATAAAAACCTTTATTTTGATTTGTTTATTTTTGAATTATTTAGAACATTTCCGCTTCTATGCGAAATCTACTCCTTTTTACAAGTATTTTGTCCACTGCGTATGTGCGCTGTATATCCAGAGCTCTTGAAAATATAAAAAAAAAAAAATAACCACTGGCACAAAAGTACACGGAGAGCGAGAGAAAATTAATTTAAGTTTAATAAGGTGAACAAAGTCAAATAGTAAATGTGATGGAGCATAACACAATGCGACTAAATTTAATTATTTCTAAAATTAATACAGGGTCATTCATTAAGGATGAGACATCCGGCAACCGGCAGATGCTATACCTCAAATGGGGGCTATTGACGTTAGACTTCTTTTTTTTGTCTCATTATTCTCAAAACATCTGAGATAAGCCTTTAAAATTGTGTGACCAGTGGCTCGTTTAGATGACAAATATGATGCGTGATACAATTTCCGCACTGCTCATAGGGGCGCTACTTGCATCCAATATTGCCGACATTTAACGTAATAACTTTTCATCCTGTCCTTGTAGCATCCAATGTAGCTCAAAATCTAAAACATCAATCGATTCTACATAAATTGAATATTCTTGATTCACATCGATACTTTGGCCAGTTTTTGAAATAAATTAATTCAACTAACGCTAAGTTTTAATAATAGGCGAAATCAAAAGTGTAGGTAACAAATCATGTATTTTAAATACTAAAACAGGTTAAGTTCGTAATAATTCTTAAATGTAATCGTTCAAAGTGATCCATTGACAACCATTGACCACGATACACTTTGGTCGTTTGGTCAGAAACAGTTTGAAACAACATATTGCGATTGGATCTGCTTTCGTTAGCAGCGACTTATAGTCTAAACCACAATTCTTCACGGTGAATTTGACATTAAGTAATTTAGAGGATTAAGGTCTGGACTTCTGAGTAGCCAAGCAACTTGGCCAAATTTAGTTGAAGAAATTGTGAATACAATTGGCCATTTAATTTGAGAGGAAGTTAAAATTGTCCATCAAAAAATTGCCAAAAGCACAGCACCAGACATTGATTTTCAATGCACGTTGGAATTGTATGACTTTGTGTATATGAGATTTTCAGAGTTGCGTTTCAGAGTAAATGTTGCCTCATCGGTAATCAATTTTTTCTCTAAAAAAGTACCATCGTTGGTTTGTTCTTTTTGTAGAAAATGGGCAAAACGTAAACGAGCGGGCGGATCTTGCAGCATCAAGTTCTCTAGAGGAGTAAAACGGACTGGACATAGTTTTTTCTTTCTGCAGAACTCTCCAAACCGTATGCTGAGTTATACCTGTTGTCGTACCTAAAACACGAGTACTTATAGCGGAATTTTTATCAACTCACGATATAACTTGATCTTCATGCTAAAAAAAACGCATTTTTAAGGAACCGTTATCATATCTCGGGCGAAAAAATCCTGTTTCTCCTCACCCATTGTACTAATTTCTAAACAGCTTATGGTTGGATGTGATACATATAACATCTTCGAGATTTTTCTAGAAAACGGATCGAAATATCGACATTAACAGGAATATTAAATTTAAGAAGAAATAATTGCTGCTCAATCAAATCCATAGCCAGATATTTTGAGATAAATGACAAAAATGAATTAAACTTACGCCTTTAAACACCCTGTATCTCCGCAAATATTTGACGTGATAGACAGGGTGATTTACGTAGACCGTGAATTAGAAGTTTTCTCACTTGCAGTTGTTTTGCAAACGTCAAATTCTGTTTTTGGTCATAACCAGGTGTGCCGAAATCATGTAAAATACATTTAGCCTCTCTTACCTAACTTTATAATTTTAGATGCAAACCTCTATTTTTTTAGCATTCTTGGAGTGGCCTTCTTACTACGAGTTTGGGCAGCCCTAATTTTGTTAGCTCATCTTTTATAATTTTCGATATATCAATTGTTTAAGAGAAAAATGCCATTACAGATGTTTACCGAACAAGCTATATCTCAGGAACGGTTTTAAATTGAAATCCCAATTTTGGCAGGTAGTTAGCTGAAAGGCTAAGCTGACTCCCCAGGTGACAATTAGGGAGACTCTCCTCTAGCATATAGGAGCATGCAGCCTACAAACATTGACATTGAAAAATGTTAAAAAATCAGTTTTGTTAAATGGCACTTACAAACTACACTTTTGTGTTCCTGCAGAATTTAGTTTCTTATTGTTAAATCAGAGCAAAATTTTCAATCAGAATTAAGAAAGTTTATAGTTACCATTTAAAAAAACTTATTTTTTGCATCTTTTTAAATCAATATTTGTAGGCTGCATGCACTGAAAGACCAGAAAATGGGGACCTAAAAGTCATATGGGGAGTTAGCTTGGGCTTTCAGCTAACTACTTACCCAATTTGCGTCTTGAATTTAAAATCGTTAATTTCATATAGCTTGTTCCGTGAGCACCTACCCTGGCATTCTTTGACACAATTGATGTATTAACAAATAAATGAATAAATATCAAAAACTATACGAGATAAGTTAACAAAACTAGGGCGGACCAAACTTGCAGTTCGAATGTCAATCCAACCATGCTAAAAAATTAGGACTTTACATTCAAAATAAGAAATTTAGGTTATACTTTACATACACCCTGTACCGCTGGAGAGCTAAATGTATTTTACATGGTTTCGCCACGACTCATTATAACCGGAAACAAAATTTGAAGTTTCTAAAACAACAGCAAGTTGGGAAGCTTGTAATGCACGGTCTAGTAAGTCACCCTGTATACATTTGGCGTGTAGTACCTCTTGTTTCCGGATTTCACATTCTTAAATAATCACCGTGTATAAGCAAGGAAACATATATAGATTGCCAGTAAATAATGTAGCATTTAAATGGAAGAGGAACTGAAGAAAGGTAATCAAAAAAGCTATTAAACGTATGTAGGTTCAAAATAATAGGACATCCTTTCAAATTGGTTTGTAGTTTAATGGGGCTTAACTAAAATTATTTCGCGGCTGGTTGCCCTCGATCCTAGAAAATATAGACTTCATCAAGTTAAATAATAATATATGTTGAGAGATACATACAACAGATCCTTTAGGGCCAATGAGTCACCCCTGTTTATGAGATTTGCATACATTTTCCAAGCGTTTTGCATTAAATTTAATGGTTCGACGTTTCAATTCTTGTACACAAATTTCAACGGGGTAAGTGATTCAATTCGAAACTAGGGACAAACGAATAAATTGTGGACAGCTGACGGGGTCTTGGAAATTAAACACTAAGTAAATGAATCTTTTTAGAAGACTCGAGGCCAACGAAAGAATTCCGAGCATGCAGCTCAGCGCCCTGTTTCCACTTGAGTACTTGCATCGACCTTCCAGGGGCGACCTTCACCTGCATTTGTTCTGAAAACTACACAGGACCCTCCTGCGAAACTGAAATAGTCCTTAAACAATACGAAACCCCTTCATTTAGTGGGAGATCCTACGCAATTCTAAAGACAATCGAAGCTTACAACAAACTTATTATAGAAATGGAACTCAAGTCGTATGCTTATGATGGAATATTACTCTACAACGCAGAAAACGAAGATGGAACGGGCGATTTTGTATCTCTTTCGCTGGTTAATGGATTTGTCGAGTTCAAGTACAATTTGGGACACGGACCTGTTATTATGCGTTCTCTAGACAAGATAGAACTTGGCAAGTTCCACAGAATCGCTGTTAAAAGATATAATAGAGATGGCTTATTAAAATTGGACGATGCTGATGACGTAGCTGCACAGGCCTCTGGATCAACCAAAGCTTTGGATTTAAAAACCGATACCTTTATCGGATACGTACCCACTAATTACACTCGGTAAGTACTGCCAATTTCTTCCCTAAACTACCGGAAACACCGCCGGAATTTACTTTTAAAATTTTCCAATTTCAAAGCTAAAAACAAAAGTTTTAGTGTAATAGCCATTACCCATGTTAAAAACATAGTTAAAATACTCTTCCCAACTTTTAGCAGTCGAACACCCGGAACCAATTCAAACCTCATTTCATTACAATCAAAATTAACTCTTACTGTATGCCGATCCAGTTATGACGAAAGTTTATCATACCCTACAATTTGAATAAAGCGAGATCTTCCACAAAGGTGCATCGGATTACCATACGCCCGCTATCGATTTAGGTTATTTACATCCTTATTAAGGCGAAAATCTGACACCACGAATGTATCGCAACCATTACAGTAGCTATTTTATTGAACAGCAGAATAATGGTTTTGAAGTTATAGCAGATGCCCTTTAATTCTACGCACAAAACAAGGGCTGATTTCGATTTATGTTGTCTTGCCTGTTGCATAAAAGTGCGAATAGTCCACCTAGACCGGACTTAATACTTAGAAGACATTTAAATGAATATCACACTCTCACATCTCGTTTTGTGCTGAGCATTGAGTCCAGATTCATTAAATAGGGTTGTTTCTGTCGTCTTCAAATCAATTGTTTCTATTAACTTCTTAAGTCTAACAGTTGGTATGATCAAAATCAAGGTTACCTCTGCTAGAGGTGCTAGCTCCCGTGGCTACGTTTAGGCACTCAAACTAGCACTAGCATTCAATCTAGTTAGATTGAACGTTTTTTTTTCTACTACTTATCGACAAAGTGCGTGCGAAATAATTGATGTGATAACTAGATGTTAAAAGGCAATTCAGGACAAGCATGTTACGGTGAATTCGACGTGTCATTTCCAATCTGATTTCATTAAAGAAAAAAGGGTTCAAAAAGGGGGCAAAGGCAAACGATCAACAGACCTGATATACAACAGAGATTATAAGGGTAAACCTGTATCCGAAATAATTAAAACCGATTGACCTAACTTTCAGGGTTTTCGAAAACATGGGCACCGACAAAGGCTTCGAGGGCTGTATCAAAAAGTTAAAGATTGGCAGAGAGGAAATTGAACTTCATGCATTCCGACACGAAATGGTGTTGGAAACTAAAGACATTCACGATTGTAGTCAGCATGCATGCGACCACTCGCCATGTTTGAATCAAGCCAAATGTGTGCCAATGGACGATCTTTTCCGTTGCGAGTGTGCACCTCAATTTTCCGGAAAGTTTTGTGACAAGCTAGACGATCCATGCATGTCCAATCCGTGCGCTTTTGGTGCAATTTGCAAGGCTTTCGACCAGGAATCCTACGCTTGTCAGTGCCAGCCTGGACGTGCCGGAAAACGATGCGAAATTGGTAAGCATATTTATAAACTGACAATTTCACCGCTCTTATTAATCCGTATGTAACTCAAGCTTGTCTAAAGATCTGAAATATCGGATGCAAACTTGTTGTAATAACCGAACATGAGTAGGTACTTGTTTGTTATGACTACCGTGCAACACGATACAGGATAAAACGTGAATATACCTTTTTCAACCACTCAGTGCGCCTCTTGCTGAATGAGATCTATTGGCATTTCAAATGTTTATCAGATTTTCAAATGCAGAATCCCATGGAAAGGACCTTTGTCCCTTTCACTGTTTTTTTATTTATATTTTTTATGCAAATGTGATTATTTAATGTATTTTTGAGTGTCAATTAATTTCAGTTGGTGGGTTTCGACTAAAAATTGTCTCAAAATATTTATTGCAAAACTGTTCGAATTCAATTTTATTACTCAAAAATAAACTACCGAATTTCACGATCATTAGTTCGTTGAATTCGCTGACAATGAAATAAGCTTGTAGGTATTGTTCGCCAACTGACCCATTTACACAAAGAATTTGATTGCAGAGTATAAAAATGATAAAGTAGTGATTCCGGAGTTCAACGGACGTAGTTTTATTCGATTTCCTCCAATGGAAGGCATCGAGAAGACATTTTCAATTGAAGTTTCCTTTATGCCTAAAGCACCTAATGGTCTAATTTTGTACAGCGGACAAATGAAAAATGGCCTGAGCAATTTTATTTCCTTAAATCTCGCCCACGGGTATTTGCAATTCCGATTCAGCTTGGGCGGAGGGACCGTCGATCTAATGTAAGTACTTTAAAACCTTTTAATATAAAAAACTAATTTACTTGGCAAAAAAATAAGAGCTCTAAGTACCCAAAGTGTTTGGGAAACAACCTGTATTTTAGTTTAGAATTACTCCACTTCTGAAGGTGAAGCAAAGCAGCATTAAACAGCACTTTTTGCAGTTAAAATGGGCATAAAAAGCTTTAAAAAAGTGGCAAAAATCAAACTTGTAGCGCATGGAAACATATTGTTTTGAATTAAAAACTTTCAGGTATTAGGCTTTGCTAAACAGTTGAAAAAATGAAACCATCTCCAGAATATCAGGAATGTATACATCATACGTTTGCTGATTTAAATGAACATGATGTCCAAACTCATTTGTGCCAATTCCTCCAGTTTTGCGACACCAAACTACAAAGAAACACTTTACTTAACCAGATCTAGAATACTTCCAAAAAAGCATAGACAGCACATATTTACAACTTAGCTAGAGGATTCCTCAGGGACCCGAAGTCTCCAAGTTATTAACCTAGTTTCGATCTATATGTTAACCTCATGCGACAATATTAGACTGACAATTTCAGGCCTACCTTCTAAAGGCATAGCAATTCTCCGGCTGGGTTAGTCTCAAACGATAAAGGTTTTGAATCAGTGCACACAATCAATCTCTTATTTGTTGGAGTACGTTGATAAATCGAACAGAGATTTAAAGAACTTGCGTTACGTGTTCTCTAAAATAAAATTCGATGTTGCAAACTTTTAATCACAGTTTGATAGAAATGGTTAATTAATTGCCGATTTCTATAAGTGCATTTCAGGGCTTATGGCTAATGTCTAAAAACCATTCCGTTCGGTATTGCGAGCAGTAATAGGCAGTTAACAATAAATATTTTATTTTTTGACATTGCAGTTTACATTTTTTGACTAAGTAAAATTTAAGTTGTTGCTTGTGGAGTGATAGAACAACATTTATAATCTGACTGAATGAGTACTGCCTCGATTTTCTGATAAAAATCTGCATTGGCTGCTAGCCATGGAGTTATTTTAATATATCCAATACTAAACAATTCGATACATCGTCCAAAAAGTAATGTATATTAACATTCCGCGCAAAAACAGCAAATTCAAAGTTGACGTCACTTCTGTGAATAACATATTGCAATTTTAATGATATTAGTTTATTTATGTATGACCGCTTCATAGACTTGACTGATTAAACCGCATACTTTTATTGGTATTTTTTTATAAACCACCACATCATTCATGCGAAGCTGAATCGCCATCATAAAAATATGGATGCAATCTGATTAAAATAAAACATGTAGGAAGTGCCTCCATATACCTACACTTTGCTAAAAACCAAAGCGATTTTATATTTCACTGGTCATGTGGAAAGAGAGGGATTTTTATTTTTCTTTCCTATGCTCCTCTGGTTTTCCAGACATTTATAATACATGAAGGTTTTGACCTGCGGTGAACTGGTGAACATTTTTTACAGTCATGACTTTGAATCTTTATCTACACGAAACTAAAATGCAAATAATAAATGTTACTACTTTTCGGATAAACCTTTAGCGGGCAATTTTATTGCCCGGGCTAAAACCGGGAATTTAGCTAACTTGTTGATAGCAATGTTTTTACAAAACCGTCGAAAATAATCAAAGCTTGTCATTGTATAAACGAGAATATAAGAGGAGAAAAAAATACACTGGATCTGGCTTTGATTTATTATTTACCGAAGTTGCAATCATTGCAGAGAACTCCTGGTTAAATAAAGTTGTTTTCTTCACACCGTCATTATATAAAAGTGAATCCAGTGACTTAAAGGTTTATATAATTTTATCGTATCGACCCGTCAATTTTATTTCTAAGGGTAACACTTTAAATTAATATTTTTAGCCTTCTTGTTTCAACCCCCTAGGAGGGGTATATGTCACCCTCGGAATCTTAAATGGGAGGAGGGGTTAAATGGCACATCGTTTTAAAGGACGTTCTATTGTCTTTACATTACTTATTACTTTGTTGCTTTTTGTCAAGAGGTTTCCGTATAATCGCGGTTCAAAGTTTTAGAAACAATTAAACTTGCCTGCATTTAGATATTGGTTTTTGGGTTAGTGTTTACACAAAAACAATTGTATTGGATCTCCTTGTAATACAAATGATTCGAAGAGTAGGTTACACTGTTAAAATCGTTGAATAACAGGAATAAAATCTAGTTTAAACAATTGATTTCGGATTGACTTATTGATTGATCAATCCGGTGAACTTCTAAGCCATTCAACTTGTCCCCTTCTGCCAATCGATCTATCCGTGAATATCTTGTTAAGG